TCATTTAAGTGTGTGCAAATAAGAGTTTTACGGCGAAGCATAAGAGACGAGCTTTACTAACCTCTATCTGCGGGCTGAAACAAAGCCGGGATATTCCAGCTAAAAGATGCAAAGAATGCATTAACATCCATATCAGGGAAATTAGTTTCGAGATATCGAGAAAGAGTGTGCTTGCTCGCAAAAGATTTGGTTGCATTCTTCATCTTAAGTCTTTCAGGGAGAATCAAAAACCTATCTTTATGAAAACCGGTATTACCAACTCTCCTCCCAACTCTCCAAGACCAAACATCACCGGGGCTCGGAAAATCGACAGGCGCAAATGGCAAACCTTGACCACTAGAAACCGGCGGAATCGCTGGGAGTTGATTGAGATCTGTTTCCCCTGGAGTGAAGGAACTTCTGTTTCCATTTTCCTCCCTATTGAATCCATTTTCCCAAAAATTGTCTTTCTCTTCAACTGCTTCAGTCTCTTGATTAGTACTGATCTCAACTGATTCACCATCAAATCTGTGCATGTAATAATATTCAAGAGCTGAAAAATACCCATTACAACATGATCTTACTATATATATTCAAGCAGGAACACTGAAATTGTTCCATTTTTCTTTCGGGTCTATTCATTTAAAAAAAAAAACAAAATTGATCCTTTCTCAATTCAACTTATTATTACCTCAATACACAAGTGTTACCAAACAGACTAGTTACAAATATAAAATTCCTGAAATTAAATTTACCCAGGAGGATTTTGACCGATCTCTTGATGCATATCCATCGTTGAAGAAGACATCACTACCTCAAAAACACAAATATGTGAAATTCAGCAACTTTTTAAGAGAAAAGTTGAATTGAAGCAAAATTTAAATGAAAAACTAACAACAAAATATAAAGTTACCAACTTTGTAGACTCAGAAAACAGAGTATGAGCAAAGCAGATCTAAAAGCTCATGTACAACAAACTTATCAACTCGATTCTTAATTTTTGTCGATCTTATCGTAATTACCATTATACCCTTTAGTTGAGATTCTTTTTACTTCTTCTCCAAATTTACCATAATGCCATTTTCTACGATGGTTTCATCACCGGCCTGAGCTATGATCGTGTCGATCGCCGTCGTAAGTTATGAGCCTCCTCACCGCAGACGCACTCGGATTGCTTCTGAAGAATGCAATCTCCACAAACTCAATGCGTTTGGGTCGCGTCGTTCACGCCAGAATCTTCAAAACACTCGATTCACCACCTCCTCCGTTCATAGCCAACTACCTCATCAACATGTACTCAAAACTCGACCAACCCGAATCGGCACGAATCGTTCTCCGTCTAACTCCAGCTCGAAACGTCGTCTCTTGGACTTCGCTCGTCTCTGGGCTTGTTCACAACGGTCATTTCTCCTCTGCGTTGTTTGATTTCTCCGAAATGCGAAGAGAAGGTGTTTATCCAAATGACTTCACTTTCCCCTGCGTCTTTAAAGCTTCAGCTTCGCTGAGATTACCCATTACGGGGAAGCAGATTCATGGTCTTGCTGTGAAGTGTGGAAGGATAATTGATGTGTTTGTTGGGTGTAGTGCTTTTGATATGTATTGTAAGGCTAGGCTTAAGGAAGATGCGCGTAAGTTGTTCGATGAAATTCCTGAGAGGAACCTTGAGACTTGGAATGCGTTTATGTCTAACTCTGTGATGGATGGAAGTCCTAGGGAAGCTATTGGAGCCTTTATAGAGTTTAGAAGGATTGGTGGGAACCCGAACTCGATTACATTTTGCGCGTTCCTTAATGCTTGTTCGGATGGGTTATTCTTGAGTCTTGGAGAGCAGTTGCAGGGGATAGTGTTTCGAACTGGGTTCGATATGGATGTGTCAGTCTGTAATGGGTTGATCGATTTCTATGGAAAGTGTAAGCAGATACGTTGCAGTGAGGTTGTGTTTGCGGAAATGGGGACAAAAAATGCTGTTTCTTGGTGCTCGTTGGTGGCTGCGTATGTGCAGAATTATGAGGATGAGAAGGCGTCTATGTTATATCTACGTTCAAGGAAAGAAATTGTTGAGACCTCTGATTTTATGATCTCAAGTGGTCTTAGTGCGTGTGCTGGCATGGCAGGACTTGAGTTGGGAAGATCGATACATGCTCACGCTGTGAAGGCTTGCGTTGAAAGGACTATCTTTGTTGGAAGTGCGCTCGTTGACATGTATGGAAAATGCGGATGCATTGAAGATTCAGAACAAGTGTTTGATGAGATGCCTGAAAAGAACTTAGTGACTCTGAATTCATTGATCGGAGGATATGCTCATCAGGGTCAGGTTGATATGGCATTAGCGTTATTTGAAGAAATGGCACTGCGTGGTAGCGGTCCATCTCCAAATTATATGACGTTTGTGTCATTGCTTTCCGCTTGTAGTAGAGCAGGGGACGTGAAAAACGGTATGAAGATATTTGATTCCATGAAGAGTAGTTATGGTATTGAGCCAGGGGCAGAGCACTATTCCTGCGTCGTGGACATGCTAGGGCGAGCAGGGATGGTGGAACGAGCTTATGAAGTCATAAAGAAAATGCCAATTCAACCGACAATTTCGGTTTGGGGTGCACTTCAGAATGCTTGTAGGATGCATGGTAAGCAACACCTGGGAATAATAGCAGCTGAGAGCCTTTTTAAACTTGACCCTAAAGATTCAGGCAACCACGTTCTGCTTTCGAATACGTTTGCAGCGGCTGGGAGGTAAATGAAACCATATTCAAAGTTTCAATATTTACTAGATTAAACTTTTGTTGAGCATGAATCAGGAGAGACCAAGTATTTGTTTCGTCTTCATTAACTTATGATCTAACCAATAAATGATAGGTGGGCGGAAGCAAACACCGTGAGAGAGGAAATGAAAGGCGTAGGTATCAAGAAAGGAACCGGGTACAGTTGGATCACAGTGAAGAACCAAGTCCATGCCTTTCAAGCTAAGGACAAATCTCACAGAATGAACAAAGAGATTCAAACAACGCTGACCAAGCTAAGGAACGAAATGGAGGCTGCAGGTTACAAACCCGACTTGAAACTCTCGCTTTACGATCTGGAGGAAGAAGAGAAAGCAGCGGAAGTTGCGCACCACAGTGAGAAACTAGCTCTAGCATTCGGGTTAGTAGCTTTACCACTCGGTATCCCCATCAGAATCACCAAGAACCTTAGGATATGCGGAGATTGCCACAGCTTCTTCAAGTTCGTCTCTGAAAATGTTCAACGAGAGATCATCGTAAGAGACAATAACCGGTTTCATCGGTTTATGAATGGGTCTTGTTCTTGTAAGGATTATTGGTAGTCTTAACGATAATCTTTAAGGATTCGCATTAACAAAACAAAATTTATTAAATTTGTAATCGAATATGATTATAGTTCTTGTTCTAAGACTTGGTGTAAATCCGCGTTCTAATATAAAAATTGGATCCAGCTACGTTATGGTTATTGCATTCACTACGTGACCTCCTCTTAATACACAAATCTTTGTAAGTGTATATATATAAAAGCATTACGAAGAAAATCCCTAATCATTTCTTCTTAATCACATTTAATTAACAAACTAAATGACTAATTTTCTAAGGAAGAAACTGCACCTCTGTTTTTCTTCCTCCGGTGGTCTCTCACCGGCGATTCCTTCTTCTCCGATTGTAGTATCCAATCAAAACCCTCCACC